GCAAGCTTGCCATTCTTAAGTCATTTCCCACCATTTGAGGGGGAAAAAAGCAGTGCAGGGAATGTAGAAAGCAACCTGCCTTCCTGTTTTGTATTTCCTAGGTGGGTATGGAAGGAGCAGTGTATTTTATTGATGACATGGCATCTGATACTGATGATCTATCCAGGGAACTGGATAAGTACGACTCTGATGTCTTTGCGATCCCAAACAGCTTTAGTGTGTCACAGAGCCAAGGTAATAATAGTTTACAGTGGTATTTGTGGTATCTTCCTTACAAACATTAAGACAAGTTTTAATTAAAGACAATGTTGGCTAGAATCTTACAGCACCATAATCTGTAAATAAATTACAACAGTTAGTTGCCAGGAGGATGGTTCTTGACTTTAAGTGGTGTTTGTGGTTCTTTTAAGAATTGAAAGCAATCAACTTCCTGGAAAAGAATCATAAAACGAAACCACTTGAATTATGCAAACAATGGAAAGGATTATCATCACTACTATCCATAACAGCAGAAGCAGCTATTATTTGAGAGCCTTTTGTACAATTTTATGAGGTCAAGATTATTCCGATATTCCAAATGAGAAATTTGAGACTTGGAGAGGCCAAAGGCAAGACACAAATAGAAAGTGACAAGACCAAGACATATAACCTTATCCAGTGCTTTAAAAGTCCTTTTTCTTCCTGCTCTTCTCTTCACTGTCTTAAGAGATATGAAATTCTTTTAAATATCTGATTAAAGGTTAGACCAAAACAATGCCAATAATTTAAAAAATAATGCCCAAGGTTAACCAGGTTTTGGTAAAGCCAGCAGTCTTTTATGTTGTTAGACATGGTAGAAACTGATATGAAACTTTGGGAAAACAATTTGGTTATTGAGTCAAATGACTTCAACTATACAGATGCTTTGACTCATTGATAGATATATATTTTGACTCATTGATACACATATATAAATCTATCACAAGAAATTTCTAGATTCTTTGAAAGAATCATTTTTATGACTGTGATAAAGAAAATCCCCCAAATATTCACAAGAACAAGTTAAATGTTGTATATGGTAAATGCAGCAGCATTACAAGTAACAAAACAGAATATAAGATTATTTAAATTTTATTTAAAGTAACAAGTTAATTAAAAAGGGTGATATCTAAATATCTCCAGGCTAGACTTTTTGAAAATTTGCAAACTCCTATAATTAAAGGAATACTGGTATGGCACTATGAACATTAATTAGCCTGACTGCAAAGTCCGTTTGAACCACAAAGGTGGTGGTTCAAGCTCACCAGGTGCTCCTCAGAAACTCTATACAGGATCGCTAAGGGTTGGAACCAACTCGATGGCACTTAACAACAACAACTACAGTTAAAAACGATTATCTTATTAAAATTAAAAGATATAACACTGGTAATTATAATTTTCACAAATGTCTGTTGCTAAAAAAAAAAAATCTCAAAGCCACTATTGTAATTTAATATTCAGAGAAACATGTTTATTTGTGGAGGCAATATCTTTTGTATCATATAAAGTATGACTCTTTGACAGAAGAATGTGAAGAAAGTCATGGTAATTTACAGTCACTGTTATGTCAGGGTGTGGTGCTGGAAGATAAGAACTGAACCACAAGGTCAGCAGTTCAGACTCACCGACCAGTTATTCCTTGAAAACCCTATACAGGGTCACTATGAGTCAGAACTGTCTCAATGGCACTTTAACAATAATGATGTTATGTCAGAGAGAAACCTTACAGATAATCTAGTTCAACCTTTTTAATTATAAACTAAAACCCAAACCAAACCACCCACAACTAATATTCAAGAGATAGAATACATTCAAAGTTATTGCCAGTTTGGACACTAATTTTTAGCATGGAAGTTATTCCTCTAAAAATAAAACAGAGTGACTTTCTTCAGCAAGCTCATCTTACTGCCAGATTAATCTTAAATCATGATGATAACTACCCAGCAGGTTGAAAAGAAGTTACAGTCATGATTTCCAGGAAACACATGAACGTATCACATAATCTAAATTAAATGGCAATGCTGACTAGTTAAAATATATCTTTTTTTAACTAAATTTATTAGAGCACTGATTAAAATAAGAGGAAAATTTCTAAAGCTAATAGTTTTTCTCTATAATGGAAAAAAGATGTATTTTGAATATTATTATTCACTATGCATGTCAGAAGAGATACGTTTTATGATCGTTCTCATGACCAAAAACTTGAGACATAAATACTGTATAAGTTTTATGTTTAATTTAGATTAAAATGGGTATATCAATAAATTTATTTATCATGCACTTCACTGTAAATAGTATCAATAATAAGTTTCTAAATCAAAGAAGTCATATGCAAGAAATATTATTTAACAAATAAATGTAAAACTTAAATTCTGAAAGTTACAAAACATTGTTGAAAGAAATGAAGGCAGACCTAATGAAATGACTGCATGTCTCATGTTCATGGATCAAACAACTTAATCTGCCTTCTTTATAGAAACTGACACAGAGATCTTAAAATTCACATGGAAATATAAAGTTCCTAGAATAGTCGATTCATACTTCCTAATTTTAAAACTTAGTATGAGAGTACAGTAATCAAGACAGTGTAGTAATTGGAAAGATGAGACATATAGTGAAATGGAATATAACTTAAAGAGTCTAAAAAATTGCTTATTTTTTTTTTTCAATTAATTTTCAACAACGAGATTAAGACATTTCAATGAGAAAAGAATAGTGTTTTAAACAAATGGTGCTAGGACAAGTGGATATTCAAACGTAAAAGAATAAAGTTGGACCCCTACCTTACATCATCTACAAGAATAAGATTCAAAACAGATCAAAGATGTAAGTGTAAAAGCTAAAATGGCAAAACCCTTGAAGAAAACATAGACATAAATTTTTGTGACCTTGAATTAGGCCAGAATTTCTTAGTGACACCAAAAACACAAACAACAGGAGAAAAAAATAGGTAAATGACAACATCAAAATAAAAACACTGTTGCTTATAGGACAGACACCATCAGAAAAAGCAAAGACAAGTCATAGAATGGCAGAAATTTTCTTGCAAATCATATTATCTAATTAAAGACTTCTTTCTAGACTATATAAAGAAATCTTAGAATGCAACAACCTAATTTAACACCAGGCAAAAGTAGTGAATAGATATTACTTCAAGAGGATATAATATATCCAATAAGCAAATGAAATGATACTTGATACCATTAATCATAAGAAAATGCAAATCAAAACCACAATGAGATACCACTTAATGCCCAGTGGAGAATTTGGAACCCTCATTCATTGTGGGTGATAATGTAAAATAGTGGAGCTGCTTTGGAAACTAGTTTGGCAGTTCCTCAAACAGAATCACCATATGATCCTACATTTCATTCCTAGGTATATTATACACAAGCAAAATGAAAATGCCCACACACAAACTTCTATATGAACGTTTTGGGGAGCATTATACGTAATAGCCAAAAGATGGAAACACCAATGTTCATCAACTGATGAATGGATACATAAAATGTTGCTTATCTACACAATGAAATGTAAGTCAGCAATCAAAAGAAATATTGATACCTGCTACAACATGAATGAACCTTGAAAATGTTAAGTGAAAGGAGTTCAAGTCACAAAGGACCACGTATTACACAATTTCATTTACATGTTCAGAAAAGGGAAATCTAGACATAGAAGGTAGACCAGTGGTTGCATAGGGCTGGAGGACTGGGGAAAAAAGTGACTGCTAATAATTATGAAGTTTCTGTATGGAGTGATAACAATGTTCTAAAATTGATTGTGGTGATGGCTATGAATATACTAAAATTCATTTCATTATACACTTTAAATGGGTGAATTTACATACAGTTTGTGAATTGTATCGCAATAAAAAAAGGAATAGTACATAATAAATATTGAAAAGAACAGGAATAATCTTTCAGATAATGGTTACCTGGTTTCCTAATAAACAAAGCCATTCTACAAATTATCTTTTTCTCTTAAATATTAGGAGAAAAATATTATGGGTCAGAAATTTAAAACAGTTCAGTGATTTAATTACTACCTATACACAGGGGGCTCACAAATGTATGTCTCCTGCCAGGTTTTCCTCACTAGATCCCATCCAGTTACTGGATCTCTCATGGTAACATACAGTCCCTCCTCTACCTTGAACTCATCGCAATTGTGATTTTACATTTACGTGTGCAATTCTTGGACTACTCAGTAAGATCCCTGAAGACAGGTATCTTGTTTTATTTGTGGCTCTCCACTGCATCCTTAACACCTGACATTGTTAAAGTGAATGAATAGGATTTAGTCAGTGTGATATAATATTACTGTCTCTCTGCGATGTGTGTTCTAGACTTAGAAGCCATATAACTGTTTTACTCCTGCATCTAAAAGAATGTAGGTAGTGCTGGGGGACCTGAGAAGCTATAGATAAATATATGAATTGTAGTGAATACATTGTACAAAACCTTATATAGCTTCGTGAGAGACAAAGTTTCTTGATTCTCTGTTGCATTTCAAATAGGAGAGGCTGCAAGCTGCCTTGGAGACAGATTCAAATTATGTTTAATAGAAAAAATTAAACAGTGTGAAAAAAATACAAAGACAGAGAGGAATGTGAAAAGGAGTTTCAGCCTGATTTCAGAGAATACATAACAACTCAAGTTTTAGAGTATCGTTTATCTTGAAAAAGGTATATTTTCTAGCTCATTTAAGATCATGTTAACAGAATCATTTTTTTAAAAACGAAACTTGTTATTAATAACATGTCCTTTTATGCATCAAATGGTTTGCCAATCATGCTTACCAAGTACTAATGCTACACTTGGTCTACAATATCATTATGTTTATTCCATAGACCTGAAATTCTATTTATAAAGTGAATCAATGAAAAACACTGCATATAAACTTAAATATTTACTTGCATACTGACAAATTGAAATATAAAAAGATTCTTTTTCCGTATCAAATTTAAAGTGGTTACTCACCTGTATTGAAAGCTGTAAATGCAGTTTTTCTTGAAGAACCTACAATTTTAAAAAAGTATAAAATGCATGTTTTAATGAAACGTAATGCAAAAAATAAATCATTTTAGAAATAAAGGTTACTTTATTTTCAAAAACAATACTACAACACTTCAGGTTTCAGGTGGGAAATGCCATTGAGATCAATACATTTTTATCAAGCACATTCTAAATATAAAATTATATTCCAAATAATCGTTTAAGGGTGATGTAGTCATCTTTTAAAAAATTAAACATAATCATCTTTAATAGAACAACCTGCCTTACTTTTTCAGTCAAGAACAGCTGAAATTCAAATTCTAATAGTACCAAAATCATGCTTACTAAGCACATTGTTGTTGTGAAATGCCTTGGAGTTGGTTCCAACTCACAGAGACCCTGTATAGGATTTCCAAGGAGCAGCTGGTGGGTTTGCACAGCTAACCTTGTGGTTAGCAGTCCACGCTGATTCTACAGCACCACACCAGGAGCCCACTAAGCATATAATGATTGTTATTCCTATTGACAGAGTCCTGATATGGTGCTGTGGGTTAATGCGCTGGACTGCAAGGTCACTTTGAACTGCAAGGTAGGCAGTTCAAGCTCACCAGCTGCTCCTTGGAAACCCTATACAGGGTCGCTATGAGTTGGTACCAACTCAACAGCACATTCCTGTTGACAGAGTAAATGAGGTCAAAGTTTGTGAAAGACACCCACTTGTGCGTGATTTCAGAAATTGCCAGGTGTTCATCCATTTCATTTGCTATTTAGTTATGTAGAAACAAATACTTAAGGATTGTGTACAAATTGACAGAATATAAAGAGCAACCAGGATTAGGAATAGGTACAGAGCTACAAAGTTAAGTCACTATAAGAAAACCTGACATGAAACAGTCATTTCTAAGGCAAATTCACCTTTGGCTCAATAGTTAGAATAGCTACTACATTCTCTCTGTGGAATTTTACAGAGATGATAATCTCTTTTAAAATACGTGGCCATTTATGTGAAAAGCAATGATTCCTACTCAAAGTCTCTGTGATGTAAAGGTTTATGAATTTGCTGGGCAGCAGGTATGTGGGGTGTACCCTTTGGTTTTTGAATGGTTATACATTCTTGAAAAAACAAAACAAATAAAACAGTGGGAATGGAAGCAAATGTTGAATAGTGATGCATGGAGGGGATTTAAAAACAACAAACAAACAAAAAACCTTATGAATTCAACAGGGAGGCACTTGAGCATACTGGATTTCCCTATTTTATCAAGTTTTCAGTGGAATCTTGACATTCTAAATTCTCTGAAAGTTACCTTTACATCAGAGTCGGACAATGTTTATTTTCAGTTACTGTGTGTGGATTATTGTTGTGAAGTGCCATTGAGTCCATTCTGACTTATACAGAACCTGTATAGGGTTTCCAAGGAGCCGCTGGTGAGTTTGAACCACTGACCTTGCATTTGAGTGCTTATTCTATAGTACCCAAGTGTATCATCATCCATAAACAAAACCATGTATACATGCAGAGGAAAAAAAAATGGAAGAAAATGCAAAAGTGGTTGGTGATGGCGCTAAGATTAAAAAAGGCTGTTTATTTCTGTGTTATCATTCACAATTATTCTTTCGTTGGTAATCTTTAAGTTCAGTAAACATAAAACTTTTGAGGTGCTTCAGATCGACAGTGGTAAAGTTGCCTGGATATGCTGCCTATGAAGTATACAAGAGTAAATCAAAGAAAATTATAGAAACCTTTTATTAAACAAAAAATATTGAAATAAATAAATAAAAATGTGAAGCTATTGTTTCTCAGCAGATCCTCCATCTAAATCTAAGCATTTCTGAAGGTGGTGTTTCCATCTCTCTAATCCTTCCCCCTAGAATTCTGTGCTGTTTGAGTTATACCACATCACCATAGAACTTTTGACATCCTCAGGGGCCCCAAGTCATAGTCCTTATAAATAGTCTTTTGAGTTTTGAGCTGTAGGGCTCTTATAGGACAGTCCTTCTTACCACTGAAGAATGAGCAGGTTCATTGTCATGATGGGAAAAAAAATTCCTAAGTGGAACTTTCCTATCCTTTTTCTTACCAAGGCAGATTTCAATTTTCTTAAAATATCTTCTTAATAAGCCCCCTGTGATCATATTGTGTCCTTCCAAAATATCTACCAAGACGATCACTTTGGAATCCCCGAAACAGTCGACTTATCAACCTTCTGAGCTGACCTCTCTGCCTCAGGTCATCATTTTTATATTTTATAGCTTCCCAACCTTCCTTTAAGCACTTGATCCACCAAAAACCTGTTGTTTTAGGTGAGGTTGCATTCCAAAAATTTGTCACAAAGCTTCCCTGATTTAGGAAGATATCTACTTCAGTTTTATTTCTTAAAAGACTGTTATTAGCTTTGACCTCAAAATCATTTTTTACATGGCACAAAAGTATTCTTTCATTTTAAAAACATCCTAATGAAATTAAGGCAAGTGTATTACTGAGAGAACTTGTCTGCAGTCATGCACTGAAGGCAGAAAACATGTTTAAGACATTTTGTTTGGGATAAACTTGTGCACGTATGAACTGGAACCCTATTAGTAATACTTTTTGACTTAACTTCTTGTGCCGCATACACTAAGAATAGAAATAAACATTAACCAACTAGTCAGGTAGGAAATATACTACGCATTTTTATTATTGCAAAGTCACTAATCTGAAGCACTACCTTTGGATAAATTTAACTTTAGATGTTTTATTTTTTATTTTCATCTTCTTTCTTTGTGCTGCTTATTGATTTATATGTGTCACGTTTAAGTGCTAGAACCAACAGACTCTCAGAAAAGGAACTGCTCCCTCAGTATAAAAAAATTATTATTATCTACTTTTCAACACTCTTTTCACAAATAATTGTTAAATATACCATAAACCTAATTGTTAAAAATTTAACTTCTTACAAACCAAAGACTGTACACAAAGGCCTATCTTCCTTCTTCTATGCACAATGGGAGCCATACCTTTTTGAGGAGTTTTTAATAAGTGAACATGACCTCTGGGTACCAAAGGTTTCACATATAAGGATCCTGAGGAACCATTCGAAAATGTTGGTTTTGGAGTTTTTTCCTCATATTTGATGACGGCAGGATTACCAGCTATAGCAAAACAGAAAAAAAGGCACATTTTAAATACAAGATCAACCTTCCATAATTAATTCCTTCCTCCTTGAATCAATAAATATTCACTAAGCACCTAGAATCTGCCAGTTGTTACTGAGTTTGGGAATACAAAGATGAATAGTTGGCAGTTCCTGTCCTCCAGGATGTACGGCAAATGCAACACATGTTAAACGTTCTCACTAAAGTGACCTCGCATCTGGATGTGCCTGTAATATGCCAAGTTCCTGGGTCCTGTCCTGTCTGTTTTCACCCCAGATTAAAGGGAAAAAACAAGAAAAAAAGAAAAAAAAAAAACCTTGGCGATAAATTATATGATAATCCACTCTATATAACAAAGTATGCAAAAAATGCATTTAGAATCTATCTCTGGGACAAGGCAGAGCACAATTATCCACAATTATTGTTAATGTGCATATTTGTTGGCAGCTAGAAGGATGGCATCTTATTCTCATCTCCCTCTGTTACAACATAAGAATTGGAACACCAACAATTGCCCAGGAACAAAGTGTGTAAACCCCAAAGCTAAAATACAAAAGAGAATTTCACCTAAAAGAAAACAAAAACCCCTCATATTTTGCATTTACGTGTAAATATTGTCTTTCTTTCACATTCACATAGGAATCCTTGGGAGAGGAAAAAAAAGGTTTTAGGCCTTTCCAGGTATTGCTTAAAGGAGCTCTGGTAGCGTAGTGGTTACGAATCGGGCTGCAAACCAGAAGGTCAGCAGTTCGAAACTACCAGCTGTTCCACGGAAGAAAGATGAGGCTTTCTGCTCCCGTAAAGATTTACAGCCTTGGAAACCCTGCTCAGGGTTGCTATGGGTCGGAACCAACTCGACAGCACTTAACAACAACAACAAGGTATTGCTTAAGGAAGAACTGTGGGGAAACTTTAATGCTAACCAATTTTACTCCCATCGCCCTTCTTTTGGAGTCCTGGGGTGGCACTGTGGGCTAATGCACCAGACTGCAAAGCTATTTGAACTGTAAGGTCGGCGGTTCAAGCTCACCAGCTGCTCCTTGGAAACCCTATACAGGGTCACTATAGGTCGGAACCAACTCAACGGCACTTAACAACAACAACAATCCTTCTTTTGGGTTCATGTTCACCAGCTGCTCCTTGGGAACCCAGGGTCGCTATGGGTCAGAAACAACTCGACAGCACTCAACAACAACAAGCCTTCTTTCAGTTTGTTGTACTGTGTTGGCCTGCATGCTGCCATGCTGCTGAAAACGATACCACTGGTATTTTAAATACCAACTAGGTCACCCATGGTGAACAGGTCTTAGAAGAGCTTACAGACAAAGACAGACTTATAAGAAAGAAAAAAAGGTAAGTCAGTAAGAAAAGCCTGAGGATCTACTTCTGAATATCAGCCAATGAAAACCGTATGAATCACAACAGCCTATTATCTACTACAGTGCTGAAGATGAGCCTCTTCATAGGAAATACAGGGGGGTGGGGGCTTCAAAAGTTCAAAGAAAAATTCCCTATCATTTCATTTTACATTTCCACAACCGTTTTTGAAGCTCCCTTCATATACAGTGTACAGTGGCTGCGACAATGAACTTGAACACACCAATGACTGTGAAGCTGGCACAGGACAGAAAACTCTTTGTTCTGTTGTATGTGGGATGGGTTGCCAAGAGTCAGAGCGCACTGGACGGCAGCAGCTAACCATTTTGTTTAGGCTGTGGTGTATCTATAGGATACATCCACATCTATATCTATACTATTTCCCAATGAATATTTCAGGGTAGAAGTGAAAGGAAAGAAGGGAGCAAATAACTTGTATATTAGATCATACTATGTCAATGATTATGCCTTTTGCTTTGCTAAATTCTCTGATTTTGCTGTTCTTTCTTTACTGAGTCTCTCTCTCTCTCTTTTTTAAGGTTTTTATTGTGAATTGAGTGAAAGTTTACAGGGCAGATCATCCATTTTAGATTCAACAAATCATACACCTTGTTTCATTATAATGATTATAATCCCCTCCATGTACCATTAGTTAACAGTCCTTCTCTCTATTCATTTTAGCTCTTTTTTTTAATACTCAGGCATATATAATAATTTACACAATCAAAGGGCACATTCTGCAAGTCTGCCTCCTGGCCACAATCTCTTAGTCCCACTCTTCCCATGAATCTAGAGTCCTCAGCTGCTCCCTCTCTCTATGCCCCCATCTCTGCCTCCATCTCTGGTGTCTCTGCTTCTCTGTATAAGGTCTTGCATTCCACTTGTGCTCTTCTCCCTTGATGGTCCTACGGTCCTCTGTTTCTGGACTGTAAGATTAACTACTCCCCCATTTTTGTTACAAAACTTCTACCCTTACAATTATGACAGTCGCAGTTAGTCATGATAACAATTACTCACTATTGAATCATAAGAATCTTATCCCCATCTCTTTTCACCAGACCCATCTTTACTGTAACTCTTAAGACAATCCTAGCACAGCAAGTGAAAGTGACTAAAGAAAACAGCTTTAAAAAATAATAATGATAATTCATAATTTGTTAACTTTCTGTTGAAATCTAAGGTTTAAACCATGGAGAAACAACAGTGTGAAAGTCTCTTGCCTAGTTTATTTCTGTTTTTGCCCAATAATGACTTAAGAAGCCCTTGGAATCAAAATATCTTTCAGTCACAAAAGATACTGTTTAGAATGATCATTCTCATCTCCTTTGTACACAGGGTTGATAGGGATGGGCAACTTAGATGTTGGCTACCTAAAATGGGGGAGGGGGACCTATAACAGCACAAAGTGACTAGCTTACAAATGTTCAAGAGGGAGTTTAGTTTCAGAGGGTGCAGGGGAAGTGAAATCCACTGAGTGGTTTTCAACCTGTCTAGATGTGGCTGGTGAAAGGAGATGGGGATAAGACTCTTGTGGTTCAATAGTAATTGTTATCATGACAGATTGCAATTATTGCTACTTTAAGGTAGAGGTTTTGTAGCAAAAAGAGGGGAGTGGTTGATCTTGCAGTCCAGGAGCAGAGGACCCCGGGACCATCAAGTGAGAAGAGCAGGAGCAGAGTGTGGGACCCTATTCAGAGAAGCAGCGATTCCAGAGATGGACGCAGAGATGATGACATGGAGATATGGAGCGGCTGGGGACTCCAGACTCATGGAGGAAGAGGGGCTGTGTGTTGGCGGCAGGGGGAAGGTTTGCAGTAAGCTCTTTGGGTGTTTGAATGATTGTATATTCCTGAGTGTTTAGTGTAGATCCAAAAAAACCCAGAAGCAAATACTGTTGAATGATGACGCATGAAGGGGATTGTAAACATTGCAATGAAGTGAAATACGATAGGATGAGTGTAAAGCTTATGTTCTCCCATGTAAACTATCATTCAATTCATAATAAAAACTTTAACAAAAAAAAAAAGACACTGTGTAGTCCATATTTATATAAATTCTTCCTAAATTGTGACTTTCCCCTTCATGTTAATGGCTGGCTACCCACTGAATTAAAAAGGGAAACTGATTCTTTTATAGCAACCTTGATGTTTGTATTTGTATTGGGGAAAAGGAGAGGGGTAAAGGGAAAAGAGACAGCAGGGTCTATTTCCACAGCTCTGACTTTCCTATGAGAACACATTTTCACATTATAGTTTGATTGATGGTATATTTGGTACACAAGAGACTATGAAAAAGTGTATCTCTGCAATGGTGTGGTAACTGGGCTTTGTGGCTAGTTGAGGAATAAAACCACCATTACCACCATGTGTTGCACTGTTTGGGGCACAGGGAGTATACATTTAAAAATCTCATAACTGCCAAACACTTTACAGAAAACATTTGAAAAATAGTGCTAGCATGTGAAAACTAAAACACAAAAAGCAATCTCCAATTGTATTTAGTTCAATTTAAAAACAACCAACCAACATCTGCAATGATACACTTTTTATAAAGTTGGGTGTTCTTTAGAAAATAATCATTCTGAATTCAAGCTTTTCCTTTTAATTCTCTGTAATTAAATTATCCTTGAAAACATACACTGTTCAGAAGCTTAGCCCCTTCAAGGAACTTTAACAGTACTGCTTTGCTCTTCCCACAATATTGATGCTTTTAGGCGATGGCTAAGTCTATAAATTCAATATGTGGTCCTTTTCTCTCCATTCATCTATGAAACAAAACCTAACAAAAATACTTGGAAAGTTTTCTGGGTTTTTCCTTCACCCTGTAAAAGTTAACCTTTCATAGCCAAAGTTGTAGCCATCTTAGGACCATGAGCTCCATCCCTCCTGGCAGAAACCACACAGACCACTGACACACTTAAGTTGCCATATACTCATTGACTCCAAAGGACATCTGGAGGTTCTCTCACTCACTCCCTGGTTTCTAAATTTAATTTTCCCTGCACAGACCCTGACTCAAATAGCTATTATTTGTTTCTAAATAACCTTCAATAGCAAATTCTAAGCTTATAGTCCCACTCTTACCATATTTTCTGATCCCTTTCCTCAACTCACATTGCCAGCAAAGAGTGATATGAAATGCCTTTCTTGTTTACAAACACTTTGTAAGTTTGAAGACAGCTAGAAAATGTTCACTAGGTTAAACCCTTATAACAGAGCTTGTTGTTGTTGTTGTTAAGTGTTGTTGAGCCAGTTCCGACTCACAACAACCCAGTACTGGGTTTCTGAAGAGCGGCTGGTTAAGTTTGAACCTCCGACTTTGTGGTCCAGTGCTTATCCTACAGTGCCACACCAGGAGTCCATAAAACAGCTTAGAGATGTCATATGCAAACTCTGTAAAGGCATGCTGTTATTCTACCCTGGTCCATGTCCAGTCCCTGTACAATCTGCCATCTGCTCATATTTCCTATGCCCTCACATTTCCAGTATTAGGTCAGCCTTCCCTCTTCCTGGTGAGCATCTGTCAATATCCTGTCCTGTCCAATTCTACCCTTCCCCAGACCTAGAGACTTGGTTTTCCAGAAGCTGATAGGAAGCTAATGAGAAGGATAATACTGAAGC